GTTTAATCATACTGAAGAGTATATGTTTTATAATTTACTATCATAAAATACATTGAGGGGATTTTACAAAACCTGGTGCAGCCAGAATCTGCAGCATGGCAACCAATCAGTGTCTAGCTTTCATTTTAAAAGCTTAATCTGGTACTAAAACCTTGCATATACCCAGTGAAGTGACTCAGGGGATACATGGGGATGAAACAAATCCTTCCAATATACCGTATTTTCCGGTGTATAAGACGACTTTTTACCCCTTGAAAATCTTCTCAAAAGTCGGGGGTCGTCTTATACGCTGGTAACGGCAATGCTGACCCTTTTTAGGGGGGCGGGGGTGCTGTGCCGCCGCCGCCCCCCCCCCCCCTTCCAACAGAAGGGAAACTAAGTACAGGGGTGGGCAGGGGCTGCTGTCTCTTACCTGGGCTCCGGTCCCACGACGATCCGGTCCAGGAAGGGCGGCCGCTCCTTCCTTCGGTTTGTCCACTGGATGTTCGCGCGGCTGCTTGGCTCCGCCTCCTCACCGGTGATTGGCCGCCAGAACTGTAGCTCAGGAAAGGCACACAGGCGGCCAATCACCGGCGAGGAGGCGGAGCTGAGCGGCCCCCGCGAAAATCGAGTGGAGATGCAGGTAAGTGTGCCGTGTTTAGGTGCTGCTGCAACCACATATGCTGGCTGCAGCAGCACCATACTGGAACAGGGGTCAGCAAGTGTCAGTGGGAGGAATAGTGCCCCCCATCGTTGGTGTCACTGATACCAATGATGGGGCATTATTCCTCCCACTGACACCAACGATGGGGCACTTTTCCTCCCCCCCACTGACACCAACGATGGGGCACTATTCCTCCCTCCCCCCCCCCCCCCCCCCACTGACACCAACGATTGGGCACTATTCCACCCCCCCCCCCCCCACTGACACCAATGATGGGGCACTATTCCACCCCTCACTGACACCAATGATGGGCACTATTTCCCCCCCACTGACACCAATGATGGGATACTATTCCCCCCCACCCCCACTGACACCAATGATGGGCACTATTCCTCCCACTGACACCAATGATGGGGCACTATTCCACCAATGATGATATTCCCGCCACCAATGTGCTATGGGGCACTATTTCCTCCCACTGATGGGGCAATACCAATGATGGGGCACTATTCCTGCCACTGATACCAATGATGGGGCACTATTCCTCCCACTGACACCAATGATGGGGCACTATTCCTGACCCACTGACTACCAATGATGGGGCACTATTCCTCCCACTGACACCAATGATGGGGCACTATTCCTCCCACTGACACCAATGATGGGGCACGATTTCCCACTGACACCACTGGGCACGTGCATTGGAAGAGGGGTAGTCTTATACGGCGAGTATAGCCCAAACACTACATTTTAAACAGGAAAAGTAGGGGGTCGTCTTATACGCCCAGTCGTCTTATACGCCGGAAAATACGGTAGGTTGCACCTGTCTATCTGCAATCTTTTCTTCTGTACATTCAATGTGCTGAATTGATAAAGCTTGTCTGAAAGTTCAGAAAATGGGGAGCAGAGAGCTGAAATTACAGTCTGCAGAGCTCCAAGAAGAGAGGTATGAGAACTGATTGGAGGAAGGGACACACCCCCTACACACAGCTCACATAAACTGAGTTGAGGATGTCAATCTGCTGGAGGTCCCTCCCCATCACCATTTTTCTCTTGGTGTCAGGAAAACTCATCAGAAGTGACTCATGCTTATAGCAGAGGTACAAAGCAGCAGACAGTAATGATGCTACATGCTCCTAATTGAGACAAGCACACACTAGAGCGACATGTTTTGTTCATATTTCAGGGTTTACAACTACTTTAACTGAACAAGCGGAGACAAGAAACTGATTAGTTACTATGCACAGCGGCTCCAGATTCTGTCTTCTCCAGCTTTAGTAAATTCCCCCCCACACGCACACACAATCAATAATATTAGCATACGAAAAACCCACCTTGATTAATGGCCAGTATCTCAGAGTGGAAATTTTTCTCATTTTCCCTCTTCACCATATACTCTTGTATTGGCAGTCGTGCAGTCTGCAGACCATTCTGTTTAGCTTTGTAGTAAGTTACTTTCTAAGTCACAAGAAAACATGGCATTATGATTTACAGTACATGTGATATGCTACTTTTAACAGATCTGAAAACAGAAACGTGAACAATTTCTATGTCTAGTCTAATAGGCAACTGCAACATTTTTATACAGACCTTCTGAATACTTTCATCAACCAGTCCTCCCAGAACATACACTTTAGATGGGTCAATATCTTCAAGGACTTAGAATAAAGCAAAAACATGTTAAACCATTTTTTTTTCCTTTTCTTACATCCATGCAATACAAAAAAAATGTACAAACCTACAAATACTCACCAATCCACTGAAAAAAAATATGGAAGTACAAATGTGTTTTTAATTTGCTGAAATAGATCACCAAAATAAATAATGATTTAAAATGATAGATAGATGTGCAGACTTCTAAACCAATATGACTGCTAATACTCTTTAATTGGATCTATTTTTTTTAATTTACAGGACCGCACTTTGCAAAACTGTCTTGCTGTGGCTGTTAGGCTTCACATACATTTACAAATGTAGGCAACAAAAACCTCCTGCTTTCAACCTAATTGCTAGAAACAGTTTATCATTATGTTTTACTATATGTGTGTTGGCTAGCTGGATCCATGTAATGTTTGTATTGTTCAGTATATAATTCCTGCACCTAGTATGGGGATGGTACTTTCAGTGAACACTAACAACAAGCTGGTCCTGCAGTATTGAAGTAACTGTTCAGTAGCATTTTACTGAAGTTGGCTGCAATTGCACACTGCGATTTCAAATGTGGACAGAGAGAATGCAGATTACAGCAAATCTCTGCCTGAATATACAGTACATTAAATTGGTTCTAAAGCTAAAATGTTTTTTACCTTAATGCATTTGCTGTGCCCTTCTCCCCCTCTATTATTATTATACAGTATTTATAAAGCGCCAATGGTTCGCTCAGCGCTGTACATTACAAAGGGCGACAGAACATGTGACAGAACAATATCAATACAATGCAAAACATGAGGGGATCGAGGGCCCTGCTCTTTCGAGCTTACAATCTAGGAGGGAGGGGATGGTGACACAGGAGGAGATAGCTGTGGGGGATGGAGTGGTAGGAAGAGTGGAGGAGGTCGGCAGGTTAGCAGGGGGTGGGGTAGGCTTCCCTGAAGAGATGGGTTTTCAAGGTGCGCCAAAAGGAGAGGAGAGTAGGTGATAATCTGATGGGTTGGGGCAGGGAGTTCCAGAGGATGGGTGACACCCTGGAGAAGTCCTGGAGGTGGGCATGGGAGGAGGAGACCAGGGAACTAGAGAGAAGGTGGTCTTGTGAGGAGCGGAGTGTGCATGCTGGGCGGGGGTACTTGGATATTAGGTCAGTGATGTAGTACGGGGCAGTATGGTGGACAGCTCTAAACACTAACCTGACTCCTAGATCGATCCAGTACTGTATTCAGCTGTGAAGCTTTATGTGTGTGTCAATAGATGCACACAGCCAGGCTCTGGAGCGAGCCTGCAGATGTGCCCCCACAGGAAGCAGCTTCCTATGGGAGTGCACATAGAGGAGGAGCACCAGTGGGGGACCACAGAAGAGGAGGTTCAGGGGTGCCCGGTGCAATATCATTGCACAAAGCAAGTATAACATATTTGTTATTTAAAGAAAAACAAACTTAACAGTCACTTTAGGTAGTGTGTATTGCAGTCAAATGGAGGTCTGGTTAAAATCTGACATTTTAAAGTAAGAGCAGACACCGCATGTTATTTATCAGCCCCAAATCTCTCCTTTATGCATTCTCCTGATAATGGTTTTAGTTTGTTAATATCGGTTTGACTTTTATAACTTCAGGTATAAATCTTACCCCACTTTGTGCAATGACCTTACCGTCTTTGGCCACTGAGACCCCCCTCATTGGGCAGGGGGAAGGCAGGTGGGTAGGGTTTAAAAGTTGTTGTAAAGGCTTTTTTTCCCCAAGTTTAAATGAAAAAAAAAAAAAAGTTATACTTACCAGCTCTGTGCAGTGGTACAGAGCAGCCCCTTACCTTCTCTGCTGGAGAGCTGTGTGTGCTGTGGGGGCACCCGTGCGGGTGTGCTCCTGAGCTGGGCTGTGTGTGTCCACAGACACACACAGTCTGGCTCAGCTACGTCTCTCCCCATTCTCTCCTCACAGGATTTGACTGACGGCAGCAGGAGCAAATGGCTCCCACTGTTCTCAGAGTCTTCTATGAAAGCAGAAAGACAGAGTAGCGGCCCTGTTGACAGGCATAGTGCTGATTGAGAGAGGACTCGTGTTTAGGGAGGGGGGTTGAAGGAACAGTTATTGGAAGGGGTTTTTTTTTTACCTTAATGCAAAAATTGCATTAAGGTGAAAAACCTTTTGCGTTTTTAATCACTTTAATCCCAGAGGCAGGGAAATTAATCCCTTATAGCAACATATTTAATTGGGTTCCAAGTGGTATAGAGAAGAGGCTTTTATAGTGATGACTGCTATTTGGCAGGGCTTTTTATTTTAAAAGCTTAAAACAATCCTATGTTTTGCCTATTTGGAGCAATGCAACAAGCTTTTACCACATGACAAAAGATTTACGTCCCACAAACTTACCATGGTCCGAGTCTGGAGTAAGGTATGTGATTGATTCTAATGGAAAAATATCAAGAAAGCTGCTTTCTGTTGAGTCAACCTGGAAAAATATGCAAATACAAGCTTTACCACATTGCATAAATAACATACAGATGGCAAGCCCGCAGTTAAACTCTGGAAAGAAGCCAAAGTGAGGCTACACAAATCTCTTTTAATACATACAATTTACAGTTTTACAAAACAAGGACAAATATTTATTTAAGTTTAAATAGCTAACATTAAAATGTAGCACTCAATCCATTGTACTATAAACATAGTCAAAATTGCAGAAATAAACTTACAAGATAATTGACAAATCCGTCATTCATTCGCACACACTCATCATATAACAGACTGTGTTGTACAAAACCTGTCAGATACAGCCAGAATGGTTTTGCAGCTTTCTTGTTTGACCCATAAAGCCTCCTGATCTGGGCTGCCAGACGACTTAATTCCTAAAAAATGAAAAATATATCTGGAAATGATGAATGTTTAATATATGGTCTGCCTCTACAGATATCTGACACTAACTTTTATTCAAATTTTAAGCTCCAGTGAATTGTTTTGTCAGGTTTTTACTGCAGTTTGCAGCTCAGGAGATTTCTCCTCATTTGCTGTCCTGGTGAGAAGATGTCAAGTGGACAGTAAGCATTGAAACTTTTTTTTATAATCCCTGGAGTTACTTGTTCTCTTCCATTCTTATCCCAGTGTTGCTGGGAGAGAAAGTGAAGGAATGGGTAGCCATAGATATCAAAACCTGAATGGGGTTCTAACACTTTTTGCCACTTTGGCTGGAGTCATGCTCTAACTTCATTAATTGGGGCACATACATAGAAAGTAAGGCGGACTAGTAGCAGTTGTGTCAATACACATTTTCCAGGCACGGATCCTTGTAACTATCAGAAAATCTGTACTGGAAATAATGTGCAGCTATTGCTGGAGTGCTTGCAACAAACAGTATGCAATCTATTTACAAAATTACCTTCTTGCTCATGTGATCTGTCATGCTCAAGTCAATACAAAGTCTTGTACCAGAATCCTTTGCTTCTAAAAGACGCTCTTTGGTCAAAGCTTTTAAAAATCTTTTGCTGTGCAGTTGTTGGCTAGTATCTAGTATAAGAGAACACAAGAAATCATTGTTTTTAATGAGTAAGACATCACTGGCTGAAAAGTATATTCTTAAATAATTCCATAACAGTTTTTTTCAAGAATTTTACTGCAGCATAAGATGCCTGTTCCTACTGTGTCTCCATTGCCCTGTCACCCTAATTTTCCAATACAACCCCCTACAAAACCCAGTACACTTCTGGGCATAGGTCTCTCTTGGAATTTAGTTCTTGGTGTCTGAGTGTGCATTCACTAGGCCAAAACACTTTCACATAGAGGACAGTGGGATCTTGCCTTATGCTCAGGAATTTGGGGGTGTTAGATGGCAAGAATGGGGACAAAATAGGCATGTTATATGGCTTCAAGCTCCTTTTTTGTACAGAGTCTCTTTAAGCAACAATATCACAAATTCTTATCAAAACATGGTTTATTTTTCAAACTCAGAAAAATGTACAGTACATCTGGCATCCCACCTAAACTTTGTCATTGGTGTGCGAGTAAAACATTACTGACAAAGGCCTTCAGCATGTGCCTGTCATTTTATCAAATATCCCTAATTCTTAAATCGATAATGGTGTAACAGTCCACACATTAATGTTAACTTACATTACTTCTATAGCAGTACATTTAACTCCTGGCATTTTTTTTTTGAAAATGCGAACATTTAGGAGTCATGAGCCATCTATGAGGCTGATCTTCTAAATAACTGTATGCAATTTGACAATAGATTTCATAATCCGTGATAAAACTTTCCTTTGATTTACTTAAGGTTGCCTAAGAGAAACTGTCCAATTAATGTACTAAATGCAGCTCGGGGACTATATGTTTGATCTGTATTTTTGTTAATTGCATACAAAAGGGAACACTTCTAGAAGTAAACCAAGCAATCCCTGGAACTTGGAGCACAAAGCCAACACTGTCTGGAGCTGGTCAGTATGCAAATACTCAGCTTTATAATGTAGCGTCCAGGGGCGGACTGATCATTTGGAAACTCGGGCACTGCCCGAGGGCCCGGGGTCAGTAGGGGGCCCCATGAGATGCCCCTGGTACCTTTTACATAGGCTTTTTTGAGTTTGGGCAAGGACACAGGGGCCCCATGATCCCCTATTGCCCGGGGGCCCCATGAGTTGTCAGTCCACCCCTGGTAGCTTCTTACTGAAATAAACAAGAGTTGCAGTATCTTTTGGCATGAATTCTGTAGATCCAGATCATTTATTTTGTTATCCAGCTTGTAACAGTGTTTTAAGAAGAAGTGTGGGATATTAAAAAAAGGAGGTGTGACAATTGAATTCCCAGAATGTCCATGGCATAGCACTATGGTGGTGAATCACACGGCCATTCACACTCAAGTGTGTTCTGACAGTGTTCTAACTTGCACTCGGTCTTTATAAAGTAGTAGACAAAATAACATGTGTGCGAGTTGCGCGGTTGCTGGAAAATAAATGTGAAGCAGCAGTTTAGCATAAAATTTTGGGTGAAAATTGGCAAAATTGTGAGTGAAACTTTAGCTCTGCTGCAACAGAATTATGGTTAACGTTCCATGAAGAAGAAATTCTGAAAGAAAATCAAGAACTCTGGCTTGACAAGTGGCTTCACCACAACAATGCTCCTGAACATAATGAACTGAATGTTCGTGAGATCCTGGTCCAGAAATCCATTTCAAAACTTGACCAACCTCCATATTCCCCTGACTTAGCACCCTACAACTTTTGGCTGTTTCAAAAATTAAAAAAATGCCTTAAAAGGATACAGATTTGATAACACTTTGGACAGCCAGCATGCCACGACAAAGATGAAATGAAATTCTGGGGATGAAATGAATTCTGGGGATGTTTTTGGCAATGGCACAGTTGTCTCGAAAAGTCACACTTCACAAGGGGACAGCCACTAGGAATAAACATTTAAAGGTCCTGGTAAATGGGGAAATAAGGGAAGAGTGGCCATGTGCCTGGGAATAATCCAGCAGAGATTGGGATGGCTGACCTGCAGAACTTGGTAAGGCATGGGTCAGTAAGAATGGGGATCGGGTTGGTGTACATGGTGGGAGGCAGGGGAGACTTGGAAGAGCTGAAATTGGTGGATTAGAAGCATGGGGAACTGTACTTGTTGGGTAGGATGCAACTGGAATAACCTGGTGGTGGAAAATCAGCATTTAGTGGATCTACAGGCCGCATGATAAATATATACAGTGCATCCAGAAAGTATTCACAGAGCTTAACTTTTGCCACATTTTGTTATGTTACAGCCTTATTCCAAAATGGATTAAATTCATTTTTTTCCCTCAACATTCTACAAACAATACCCCATAATGACAATGTGAAAGAAGTTAGTTTTGAAATCTTTGCACTTCATTAAAACTGAAAAACGAAAAAAAAACACATGTACATAAGTATTCACAGCCTTAGCTCAATACTTTGTTGAAGCACCTTTAGTACCAATTACAGCCTCAAGGTGTTTTTGAGTATAATGCTACAAGCTTGGCACACCTATTTTTAGGCAATTTGTCCCATTCTTCTTTGCAGTACCTCTCAAGCTCCATCAGGTTGGATGGGGAGCATCGGTGCACAGCCATTTTCAGATTTCTCCAGAGATGTTCATTCGGCTTCAAGTCTGGGCTCTGGCCAGGCCACTCCAGGACATTCACAGAGTTGGCCCGTAGCCATTTCTTTGTTCTGTGGGCTGTGTGTTTAGGGTAGTTATCCTGTTGAAAGATGAACTGTCGCCCCAGTCTAAGGTTCAGAGAGCCCTGGAACAGATTTTCATCAAGGATGTCTCTGTACATTGCTGCATTCATCTTTCCTTTGATCCTGACCAGTCTCCCAATTCCTGTTGTTGAAAAACATCCCCACAGCATGATGCTGCCACCACCATGCTTCACTGGAGGGATGGTATTGGTGAGGTGGTGAGTGATGCCTGGTTTCCTCCAGACATGACGCTTGGCATTTAGGCCAAAGAGTTCAATTTTTTGTTTCATTAGACCAGAGAGTTTTGTTTCTCATGGTCTGAGTTCCTCAGGTGCCTTTTGGCAAACTCCAGGCAGGCTGTCATTTTCCTTTTACTGAGGAGTGGCTTCCGTCTTGCCACTCTACCATACAGGTCTGATTGGGGGAGTGCTGCAGAGAATGGTTGTTCTTCTGGAAGGTTCTCCTCTCGCCACAGAGAAACACTGGACCTCTTTCAGAGTGACCATCAGGTGCTTGGTTACCTCCCTAGTTAAGGCACTTTTCCCTCTAGATCACTCATTCTGGGCGGCCTGCTCTAGGAAGATTCCTGGTGGTTCCAATCTTCCAATCACGGATGATGGAGGCCACTGTGCTCACTGGGACCTGCTGCAGAAAGTTTTCTGTACCCTTACCCAGATCTGTACCGTGCTACAATCCTGTCTCGGAGGTCTACAGACAATTCCTTAGACTTTCTGGCTTGGTTTGTGCTCTGACATGCACTGTTAACTGTGGAACCTTATATAGACAGGTTTAAGTCTTTCCTAATCATGTTCAATCAACTGAATTTCCCACAGGTGGACTCCAATCAAGTTGTGGAAACATCTCAAGGATGCACCAGAGCTCAATTTTGAGTGTCATGGTAAAGGCTGTGAATACTTATGTACATGTGTTTTTTTTTAGTTTTAATAAATTGCAAAGATTTGAAAACGAACTTCTTTCACGTTGTCATTATGGGGTATTGTTTGTAGAATGTTGAGGAAAAAAATTAATGTAATTCATTTTGGAATAAAGAGTGTGTGTGTGTGTTTTCTTGCCTACATTTCACACTCCCCACCAAGGTCTTGCAATATTAGCAGGATGCTGCAGCTGAAGGTATCACTGGAATCCACAAAGGGATCTCTTTTCAGCATGAGGTTAATATATTTTGGGTGGAAAATGTCCCAAATTCCAGGATGCAGCTCAACAGCTGTTATCACCTATGGCTGCGACACATCCTTTTCCATGAAGACACTGAAAAGTACACAGCTAGAGGTGAACACTGCAGCTAAAAAAGACACACTCCTCCCCACCATCCACACACACGTGAATGTGTGCACATGAGTCGGGGGTGCTTACGTATGTAAGTGTTGATTGTGCTACACAAGCTACATACCACCAGGCACACTAGAGTGAGAGCAATATTTTAGGCCTATTATTCATGGTAACTCGAAAGTAATGAACTGTTGGGCATCTATTTACTGGGCGCAACCATCTTTTATAATTTTACCCCAAAATTGGCTAATATAGTGAATTTGTGTGTCCCAAAATGAACTATTTTTAACTGACATTTTGTGCTTGATAAACCATTGTGCCAATATTGTGTGACATAAAAAATTGGAACTACCACCATTTTGTTAACCAGGGTCTCTGCTTTCAGAAAATATATGTTTTGGGGGGGTTTATGAAATCTGCAGGCCTAAAACGTGTGCAAAAAATACAACAATGGTTCATGTAGCAAATGGGTTAAGGGGTTCTTAAAGCTGTGAGGCTGTCACATATAGACATAGGATGGACAGTGGTAAGACATTAATGATGGAGAAAAGACAAAATACCTCTATCAGTGTTTCCAGACAGCTTTGTTTTTCTTCTTTCCTTTTCCTGTTTTCTTTTACTCTTTTTAGCCATGATCATTTTTTCCCAGTGCCTCTGCTTCCTTAAAACATTTCTCTATTTCAAGTACAAATATACAACAATTGGTAAGAAAATAAAATACTTTGCATTTGTATTTTAAAGTTGTTTATACAGGATCATTCTACCTACAAAGATATTTCAATATTGGGTAGGTAAAAGAATGGTGAAAAACACACCCTTATATTTTATGGCTCTCCCCAAAGCAGCATGATCTCAGTATTTAAGTTCCCAAATCCTCTGACTTGCATTCCTGGGCTATTTTTTATGAGTAGAACACAGTGATACAAATTTGAATACTCCATGGTGGAATGGGTTTGGAGGACTCCAAAGTTGATACCTCACCTCTGGAACCACTTGAAGAAACAATATGCCAGTAGGTGGTTCAACCCCTCACTGAAATATCTACTTTTGGTTTACTGGCCCACTAAAAACACCTTGTATGACAGAAATACAAGTGAGATCATTCCCAACTCCTTTTAAAAGATACAAGTTCCCTAGCGATTATGATGATCTTCTTTCTTTACTACTCAGTAAGTCACTGACCTAGAACACGCACCATTCAGTAAGTCACTGACCCAGAACAATGCTGCTGTTGATCTTGGATCTCCTGCAGGTATGAGCAGAGTGACGTAAGAAGTACTGATACCAGGATTTTAGCATGAAAGAATCTTATTGAGAATGTTGGCATAGGTAATTAACGCGTGGCATTTTGTCTTTCATATCTAAAAAACACTTACCGAACAGGACACATTCTCAGCCAATGAACCAGATGAGGCATTTTCCAGATCAATTTGAATTAGTGTAAGATGCTCCATTATTAAGTCCACATCATCAAGTTTCTTATCCCTTTCTTCTAGTTCAAATGTATTGTGATCTAAATCATCCATTAGTCTTTCTCTAGTACGTTTTATCAGGTCTTCTCCACCTGACTCCTGTAAAGAAACAAAAAAACACCACATTAGGATTATTTGAACCATAATAAAGAGTTGGCCAATTCTAGTCTGAGAGAAGGCAGTTACATGGTAGCAGCCTAAAACAAATCAGCACTATCCCTTCTTTAAAATTTGCTTCAAATGTAATCATGCCTTAAGTATAACTAAAAGGTAAAACTTAGTTTTGTACTAAGTGGATATTGTTGCTACCTTTGCCCCTTTTTTATGATGATTCACCCGCTCTATTTGTCCGGTTTACCATTATTATTGAAAGTAAAAAAATATCCAAAATTTTCGGTTGTCCTAAAAACATAAATACAGGGAACATTTTTCAATAGGGACACTCTTTCTGGTGACCTGGGGGCCCCAAATGATCCACTTAATTTGCGTGAATTTTCTCTCACTTCCTGTTTTGGCTATGTGACAGGAAGTTAAGTGAAGTCTCCCCAATGGGACACAAATGGCAAAAAAAAAAATTGACGGGGTCATAATCCTCCCTTACTCTATCCAAAATGAAAAAAAAAAAGTTTGCCTATAGTTCTACCTTAAAATAGTTTTAAAGAATAAATTAAAATATATTTTGTTACTTTTTTTTGTTTATGTAATCTTTATTTTAGGTTTAAACAATACAAAGAATCCCGAGGAACATGTCTCATCCAATACAGATGGAAGCGTTACCATCAAAGTAATTACAAAACATTCAGTGCCTCTAACACTCAGTCAGAGGATACATACACCATCTACATCATAAAGATAAAAGCAAGCGGCATGGTGGGCTGACCTGAGACAAAATAGGAGAGCTAAAAAACACTAACACAATCAATGTAAACAATGGCCTACTGACGCTGTCACACAAGAGAAAAAGGTACACACAGAAGAGAAGTAACCTAGGGTTAGTTCAGGAAGGTCTCTCCTGGCCATTTGACATCTGACTGGCCAGGTCAGACACCTTGGTCAGCTAGACCAAGTATGACAACCTGGGGCAATCAAGTCACCCATGAGCGACAGCCCGGCAGGTGGAAAATGGACCCACATATTACATTGGTAAGGCCAGGTGCCAGGTCAAGCTGAAAAAAAAAGAAAAAGTGAAGCCAGCATCTGGCCATAACAAAAATAAAACAAGACAAGTTAAATTATCTAGGTGAAAAAAATTAAAAAAAGTATAACTTTTTAAAAAATTAGAAACATTGAAAAAAGAAAAAAAAAAAAATTATATATATATATATATATATATATATATTTATTTATTTACATACTGTCGCCAGTCAGTATCCCAGATCACCGCAATGCCATTCACATGGTGACGCTGTACTGCATTGGTGACAGTATGTTAAAAAAAAAAAAAATTGTGAAACTTCCATTTTCATTTCTTAATTTTTCACAAAATTATGATAAAAAAAAATGACAACTTCAAAAGATTCAGCATGTCTCTTACCAAATACCTCAGACTGTCTACTTTCTGAAAAGTGGTCATTTTAGCGATATTTGCACTGTCCTGGCGTTTGTGGGCCTCAAGAAATTAGATCAGTCATTAGTACATCAGGATTTATACATTTTTAGATACCGTATATACCATAGTTTGTGGAGTCTATAACTTTCCTACCAACTAAATAATAAACACTGATGTTCATTATTTTCACAAAAAACATGTAGCAGAATACATTTTGGCTTACATTTGTGTAGAAGGATTATTTATTTGCAAAATGTTATAAGGGAAATTAGGAAAAATGAAATTTTGTTTTCAAAATTTTCGGTCTTTTTTCATTTACAGCGCATAAAACACCCAGTGGTGATTAAGTACCACCAAACGAAAGCTTTATTTGTGTGAAAAAAATGTGCAACAGTGCTGAAAGGTGAAAATTGGCCTGGGCAGGAAGGAGGTAAAAGTGCCCAGTAGGCAAGTGGTTAAAAATCAATGTAAAATATCAGTATAAAAATACTGGAGAGTAAAAGAACATGCTACAGTAAAATAAGATATACAGTACTGTTAGGTCCATATATATTTGGACACAGGCACAATTTTCATATTTTTGGCTCTGTAACCAAAAGTATGAAAATTGTGCCTTTGTCCAAATATATATGGACCTAACAGTACTGTATATCTTATTTTACTGTACAGATGCCACGAAAATAAATTAAAACGCAACAATCCAAATTAATTTGAAGTGAAGACTTTCAGTTTTAATTCAAGGGGTTTGAACATAAATATCAAGTACACAAATTTTAGGAACTGCAGCCATTTTTATACACAGTCCCTCCATTTTCAGGGGAATGCCCAAAGATACAAGATTACTGGGAGGGAATATTACAATATATCCAGGAGATATGTGGTATTACAGAGAGATCCGTAGACTTCTCTATTTTATAAATTCAAACCTTTGGTAAAACTACACAAGAACAGGGTATTATACCATCTAGTTAGGCTAAGGGCTTGCTTCCCAAATTTTGGCTTGCCCCAGACCCACCAAGTATGAATGACTGGGTAAATAGAGTAGAACATATATACAGGATGGAGGAGTTGTGTCATACTGAGGAGGATAAAATAGAAACATTTAGGAAAATGTGGAGTAGTTGGTTGGTCTTTAAAACATCTAAAAGATATCTGGAATTGGTTGGAACATAGGTGGAAGAGCATTGGGGGGAGCTTTAATGAAATGCATGACAGAGAAAAGGAGCTACCGTGTTTCCCCATAAATAAGACACGGTCTTATATTTTTTTGGCTCAAAAAAAAACACACTAGGACTTATTTTCAGGGTAGGTCTTATTTTTTTAATGTACAGGTTTGGAAAGGGGGTGCAGAGACGAGCTGCAGGCAGTTGTGAATAAGGGTTGCTATAGAGAGGGCTGGCTGATGACAGATGACAGTTGTGACCTGCAATCAGGTGTTGCAGAGGTGAATTGACAGGTGAGTTTTAAACAGGGTGCAGAGATGATCCACAGACAGGGTGCAGGGGTGAGTTGCAGACAGGGGATGCAGAAGTGAGCTTCGGGTCCTATGTTCCCACACAGTGCACCAAGTGCACTCACTCACCACTCTGCCTCTTCCTCACTGGCCAATGATCACCCCTGGGGCATTGGCTTCCACGCATTAGGCTGCAGGATGAGATGCACCGCCCCACCCCTAAACACACTGTGCCCTCAGATATCTGTTCCTTCCCTGCCCCACAGTGAGTACAGACGTAGGGGGGTTCTGTGGGAGCAGATGGTGCTGTTACTTACAAGAGGGATTATCACTTGGAAACACAAAAGCCGCACTTCTATGTTTATAGGACACAGAAGATAATGGTGTACACAGGGCCAGTGCTAGAGGTGGTGGAACAGCTGACCACAACTAGGTCTTATTTTCAGGGTTGGTCTTATACTTCAGCAATTCACAAAAACATTACTAGGTCTTATTTTTGGGGTAGGTCTTATTTTCGGGGAAAAAATGTAAGAGGAGATATATATAGATAATGAGAAAGGTTAGAAACTAGGATTGTGGTGAAGGATTAGGGATTGGAGGGGGGGGGGGATGGGGGTAGGGGATAATACAATATGATGCAACTGGGATGTACGGGTGAAGTTTCCTCTTTGTTTTTTAGTTGTGTTTGTATTTGATGTCCTTTTTGTATTAAAAAAAAACAAATAAAAGATATAATAATATTAATTAAAAAAAAGAATCAACTCCAGACTTTTACATGCTTAATTGATGAAGAAAAAACGAAGAAGTAGCCCACACCTGGCCATGAAACAGCTTTTTAGTCAACTGTCCAATTACTTTTGGTCCCTTGAAAAAGGGGGGGATATCTACTTTTAAGAGCTGTGATTCCTAAACCCTTCCTCCAATTTGGATGTACATACCCTCAAATTAAACCTGAGAGTGTGCACTTTCAGCCCATATCCATTATATAACTATAGCTTCAATATGTTTTGGTAAATGCCTGAAAAAAAAACTAAAATTGTGCCTGTGTACAAATATATATGGACCTAACTATATATTATGAAATCTGGAAAGATACAGAGAGAAAAAAAATGGAAGGAACCTCTTTATGCCTGTGTCTGGCAGTCATGCTTGTGGCTGTCAGTCTTGGAATCCCTCCTGGGACTTGTAGTTCAGCAACAGCTGAAGGGCTGAAATTCTGCTGACCTCTGTTCTAAACTAACTACTGTGGTTGTTTGTTTTTAGCTTATAACATTTTGCAGACTCATAAGTAATATACGCTAGAGACATAAAAAAGAAACTAAGTTTAGTTTCACACTATGAATTGCACAGGAATGCACATAAATGGGCAGACACCGACTGGTATGCAAGTTTTTCGCAAAATCTTCTTGCATTCTGGGCATTTGTCCCTGGGTGCATAGTGTCCTAATTGTGCACGGTGCACCATCCAGCTAGAGCAGCTGTCAGCCTCTCATAAGTGTTTGACAGGCTGCCTGCAGCCCAGCTAAATGGTCAGTGTGCATGGGGCCCAAAAAAGGTGAAAAAATGAGTGTAAACTGAACTGCACTGAAGATAGATATGCACATTGATGTAACCCTAATCAGTATTTATCATTTGTTTCTTAGCAAAACACAAGACTGATCTGATGACGCCCATGTTGTGAACACTGGATGACAGACTGATTTTGGAGTGCGTAGTGAGATGGTGGAATGCAAATGTTGTGAGCTTCACACTGACTGGAAGATGACTGGGAAAGTGATTGGGAGAGAAAGTAAAAAAACAGATGTTGTTAGGAACGTTAGTTTATGTATGATGAAAACAAATAACTGTGGAGAGAATGGAACGGGGCAGGGGGAACTGGACACAAAGTGTGGAAAGGGTGGGGACAAAAGTTATGGAAAATAGGAAAGATGAGTGGGGAGGGAGGTGAAGGGGAGGGTAAAAAAAATATATTGAAAAAGCTCACTGATGTACATGGGGCGCGAAGGCTGGCCAGTGTTGCCCAATCCAATAGAAAGAGCTACTGTAGTTCAAAAATTGCTAAAAAAGTTAAAGTAAAAATGGATACAGCATCGGTCCAATGCTGCATCTGTCCCCCCGCTGCCTACAAGACTGAGAACTGAGCAATCAATCACTGCTGATTGCTCAGTTCTCAGTGTTCAGCAGTTAGAAAGACTATTAGTCGCCGGCTCTGAGCTCTGCCCTCCAGTGCTCACTGGAGCGCTGGGCTGTGGAGGGGAGGGAGTGACTGGCTCAGGCTCTCAGTGGTGTGCTGAGAGGCCGGTCCTGATGCCAGTCCATGCATCTGGATGGATCCAGTCATTAACCAATTCAATACTGGGCACTTTTACCCCCTTCCTGCCCAGGCCAAGTTTCAACTTTCAGTGTTGGCGCACTTTGAATGACAATTGTGTGGTCATGCAACACTGTACCCATAAAAATGTTTTATCTTTTTTTTCACACAAATAGAACTAAAAAAAAAAAAAAAAACCCAAATCATTTGAAAAGAAAAAAACAAATTTTTCTTTGTTTCTTTTATAACATTTTGCAAATAAATAAAATATCTTCATAAATTTAGGTCAGAATGTATTCTTCTACATTTCTTTCTTGAAAATAGTGTTTATTATTTAGTCTGTAAGAAAGTTATAGAGTCCACAAACCATGCTATATATACATATATCTGACAATCGATCAGTCCTGATGTTCTGACAGCCTCATTTCTTGAGGCCCCAAAACGCCAGGATAGTACAAATACCCCCCACATGACCAATTTTTTGGAAAATAGACAGTACAAGGTATTTAGCAAGAGGCATGGTGAGTTTTTTTGAAGTAGTAATTTTTTGTTACAATTTTTTTGGAAAATGTAGAATTTAAAAAAAAAACCAAAAATAAAGTAAAATCACAATTTTTTTCCCCCCACATATTGTCACCAGTCCAGTACAGCCTTATTATATAACTGGCGTGGTGTTGATCAGGGACACTGTTGACAGTATGTAAAAAAAAAAAAAAAATAATAAAATTTTTATTTTTTTCAATTTTTTTTTTTATTACATTTTTTTTTCTTTTAACTAATATTTTTTCAACACACTGTGACCAGAGCAATACAATGTTACCATAGTAACATTGAACTACTCGGGGCAAGTCATCAGGATTTATTTTTTTCCACACATTATGATTACTAATACCAGTGTATTTCATTGATATTTTCAATCATTGTTACTGAAACTGATTCATTCAATCTTTTGTTGTGATTAGCTATGATTGGGCAAAGCTCATCACATGATACAGATGAGCTGTGAATGGCCCTGTATGTACCATGTGACTGCTTTGACCAATCACAGCTAAGAACACAATTGTATGCAATGGATGGCATGACAGGAAGCCATCCATTGTATACAGTTTGGTCACATGACACAGACAACGGGCCAGTGTAGTGATGTCATTGGCTGTGTCCCATGGGCACTGCCGGTGACAGATTGTGCCGTGGCTCCTTCTGACAGGAAGTCATATGACACCCACTCAGGAGGAGTGTCCCGCCCAGCCTATAGCAGATTGATGACCGGGCGGGACACTCCTCCTTCTGAGTGGTCGTCATATGACGTCCTGTCAGAAGGTGCTGCTCACGTGGCTGCGCAGTAGTGCGATCTGTCACAGGCTGTGTCCATGGGACACAGCCGATGACATCACTACACCGTCCTGTTGTCAGTGTCATGTGACCAAGGTGTTAAAGTCAAGATTGCCCCAGAGCCTGGACTGGCATTGTGATGTCAGCCAACAGTGGGCTACTACTTTTGCCCTACTTCTCCTTTAATACTGGTTGTTATAGAAAGATGTCAGAACACACACTGCAGTTTGTTGTGTATGGGGTTGAATAGCTGCAGACCGGTCAGAGTATCCATGCTAACCCGTGCCCACAGCCATAAGCACCTACAATGGGTACGTGAGCATCAAGACTGGATCACAAACAATGGAAGAAATGGCTTGGTCTGATACATTCAAAAATGGTGTGAAAAACAGAACAGTGAGTTTGAGGTGTTGACTTGGCCTCCAAATTCTCCAGATATCAATCCAATCGAGCATCTGCAGGATGTGATGGAAAAACATGTTCAATCCATGGAGGCCCCACCTTGCAAATTACAGGACTTAAAGCATGGCGCCAGATACCACAGTGATCCATACCTCAATGGATTATGGTGGGTGGTCATAATGTTATGGCTGATCGGTGTAAGGTCACCAGCACACCTAACTTTCAGTACATAATACTAGATCAATGAGCACATTCCTTCACACTCCTCATCATGCAGACCACAGAGGGTTAAAGGCAGAATGTAATTGGTCGAACACACTTATGGTGGTCTCTGTAGCACTACTTTTCTTTTACACCAGTGTCTGAAATGAAATCAGTGCAACATTCTGAAGGTGAAAGCAGCAATGGCATTCTTCAGGCAATCAGCTGATGGGGGTCTGTGCACTGTTCACATTGGAGCCCGTAGCTCCACTAAGATTCACTGACTCATAAGAGTGCCCCCTCCCCGTTATCATTGTGTACTATATGGCCAGGATAAGGATCCCCCACCTCATCTCTCTTACTCACAGTGATATCCTCCGGGAACCTTGCAGTACAGACTCAGAGGCCAACCCGGAAATACAAACCGGCATGTGTGCACAGGGAACCGGAAGTGAGGCTGCGAAGGAACAATGAGTGGGCGGAGCACATTGTGCACACATTCCAGACGTGCTCGGATTTCACTGCCAGTTAGTTATAGTAAGAGCTTGCTGGTGAGAAGGGGATGAAGTGTCCAATGTGCAGGGATAGGATTACAGGGGGTGCTGGTTGTAGAGAGTGGAGAGGAGTGGGTGTAGTGTCAGCACTGTGTGGGCAGGGGAGATGGGTGACAGAGGGTGTAGTTAGGGTTTACGCCTCATCCCTTTAAACACGAACATAATAATTACACAAGTGGAGTTGGCATGTTCTCCCTGTGACTGCGTGGGTTTCCTCCGGGTAGTCCGGTTTCCTCCCACACTCCAAAGACATGCTGATAGGTTACTGTCTAAATTGTCCCTAGTATATGTATGTATGAATGTGAGTTAGGGACCTTAGATTGTGCGCCCCTTGAGGGTTAGGGACTGATGTGAATGTACAACATATATGTAAAGCACTGCGTAAATTGACAGCGCTATATAAGTACCTGAAATAAATAAGTTCTAGGGCTGATTAACCACTTGCCTACAGGGCACTTATACCCCCTTCCTGTTATCGTTTTGAGACAGAGCTTTCTTTTGGTGGTATTTAATCACCTCTGGGTTTTTTTATTTTTTGCTAAACTGAAAATTTGGAAAAAAAAGTTTTATCTTAGTTTTTGTTATACAGTTTTGTAAATAAGTAATTTTTGCTCCTTCACTGATGTGCGCTAATGAGCCTGCAGTGATGGGCACTGATAGGTGGCACTGATGGGCATTGAAAGGCGTCCCTCATATATGGCACTGATAGGTGGCACTGACTGGCACTGTTAGGCAGCACTGATGGACACTGATAGGCAGCATAGATGCGCACTGATAGGTGGCACTGACTTGCACTGCTAGGCAGCACTGATTGGCAGCACTGATAGGTGGCACTGATTGGCAGCACTGATAGGTGGCACTGAAAGGCAGCTCAGATGGGCACTGATATGCGGCATTGATGTGCACTGGGAGGCTCTGATATGTGGCATTGATGTGGCACTGATGGGCACTGGCAGGTGGCATGGATGAGCACTGACAGCTGGCATTGATGGACACTGACAGGTTGCACTGATGGGGCTACACTGATCATCAGGGCACACTGATCATCAGTGCCCTGATGATCAGTGTACATGTCCCCTCTGAGGGATGCCGATAACCGTCTCTCCACTCCTCACGAGATGTCAGCGTGACAGCTCCTGAGGAGAGAAATGCAGATAACCAGCATTTCCCTATTTACATGCGATCAGCTGTGATTGGACACAGCGAATCACATGACCCAGCCGACATCTTCGGCTCTTTCCGTTGATCAGTGATCCACTGTGTCCTAGGGACACAGCGCACCACTGATCGCCGTGCTGCCCCCCCCCCCCCCCCCCGGAGCCGCGCAATCGCGGTTAGAGTGGGAGAATGTCATATGACGTCCTCCCAGAACGAGAGAACCGCCTTGCGCCCATCATTACCTTATATGGTGGGCGGGAGGCAGTTCTTGACCAGGCCATTTTTTTGCGTTACGGCACTGCGTTACTTTTACTGACAATTGTGCGGTCATGCAGTTCTCATGAGTTGAGCTTTCTTTCGGTGGTATTTGACCGCCTGTGCATTTTTTATTTTTAGCGCTATAAAAAAAAGACCGACAATTTTGAGAAAAAAAAAACTATTTTTGAAGTTTTGCTATTAACCACTTCCCGGCCGGCCCATGTACATAAACGGCCAGACGGGAGCAGTGCAGGAGCGGGTGGCCGTTTGTAAACGGCCTCCGCATTTACTGTCTGGAAGCGCGTGGTACCGTGATCCGGTGCCCGCTGTGTCCTCCGATCACTGTATGGGACCTCTGTGTGAGGTCCCAATCGTGATCACTGATTGGCCAATCAGTGATCACATGAATAATAGTAAGCAAAATGTCACTTCTGACATCATTGCTTACTAGTGAAATCTGTGAATGATCACAGAGGTCACATGGTACAAGGCTATTCACAACAACCTTGCACCATATGACAAGCTGTGACCAATCACAGCTCGCACAGTATTTCTCAATGGCTGCAAGAATGCAGCCAGAAAGAAGGAGAAATTATTGCTTTTACAGTCTATATGGGTGTAAAAACAATCAGTGTATAAAAAGCAAAAAAAAAATCTTCATCACCCCCCACAAGTATTACAGTGTCACTATGGTGACACTGCACTGCTAGGGTGACAGTATGTAAAAAAAACCCATAAATAATAATATAAAAATGTAAAAGAAATTTTGAAAAAATAATAATTTTTGGTTATAAACTAATTTGTTTTTGTTTTTTTAACTAAAAAGATAGATGAATACATTTTGGCCAAAATTTATGAAGAAAAGATTTATTTGCAAAATTTTATAAGAAAAACACTCATTTATATAGCCAAAAAATAAAAATCCCAGTGGTGAACAAATACTACCAAAAGAAAGTTTTATATTTCTCAAAAAAATGCTAACAAATTCATACGGGTACATTGTTGCATGACCGCACAATTGACATTCAAAGTGTGATAGCACTGAAAGCTGAAAATTGGCCTGGACAGGAAGGGGGTGAAAGTGTCCGGACCTGAAGTGGTTAAATATGTCCAGTAAAAAAAATTAAAATTTTGTCATAAATTTAGGCCAAAATGTATTCTGCTACATGTATTTGCTGAAAAACAATCCCAATACATGTAGATTAATTGGTTTATGTGAAAGTTATAGCGTTTACAAGTGGTGGTATATATACTGGGATTTTTTTTTTTTACTAGTAATGGTGGTGATCAGCGACTTATAGCAGGACTGTGGTGGGCATTCTGACACTGGAGGGAACTGACTTGGTGTCACTTACATCCCCAGTGACACCAATACAGTGATCAGTGTTAAAAAAAGCACTGACACTGTACTAATGGCACTGGGCAGCAAGGGGTTAACATGAGAGGTGATTAAAGGGTTAACTGTGTGCTGAGAGTGGTTTACTGGGGGAAAGTGTGTTGGTGCTTCACTGTAAGCACACACTGCAGTGTGCCCGAGCTGACAGGGAGGAGGACTCTTAGTAAACAAAGCAGCCCTCTTCCCTGTCGGAGATCCTCGGTAATCACCAGTCAGGACCCGATGATTGACAGCCACGACCGCGAATGGCAGCGCGGGTAGGGGACGCTAATGGCTCGCACTAGCCTCCTACCAGGAAATACAAAATCAAGTATATTGTACATGATTTTGCACACCCCTGCCGCCCTGTAGCAGTATATCTTTTATATTGCGGTCAGGTTGTGGATAAGGCGGTAACTAAACTCAGTGCCTTATCTGCATTAAATTAACCACCGAACCTCTGTAATTAAAGTGTTCGGGTTTAAAGGGATGGTGGAAAGCCTAGGTGTAGTGTCAGCTGACTGACAGGGTGTGCAGCATCAGCTTTATAGAGAGGCATGGGGGTGCTGGGTAAGTGGAGTTGCATGATAGGGGGAGCAATGTCAGTGTTGCAGGGGTACATGGGTGGGTATGCTGGGGGAGGGGGTGGAGTGTAAGGGAGCCCATAGATTCATTTTTTTTTCAACCAGCAGATTGAAAAAAATAAAACTACTCAATTCCCTGGTTTCTGTGCAAATTTCGCACTACAATACCGCTGTGGGTGTTTACAGTGAAGGAAATAAGTATTTGATCCCCTGCTGATTTTGAATGAAATGATCAGTATAAAAATCGAATGGTAGGTGTATTGTAACACTGAGAGACAGAATAGAAATAAAAAATTAAAAATAAATGCACATCTAACAAATGATGCACTGATTTGCATGTTCTTGAGGGAAATAAGTATTTGATCCCCTGTCATTTAGCAGGATTTCTGGCTACCAGGTGTCTTCCATACATGTAACAAGCTGAGATTAGAAGCAGTCTCTTAAAGGGAGTGCTGCTAATCTCATTTTGTTACCTGTATAAAAGACACCTGTCCACAGGAGCAATCAAACAATCAGATTCCAAACTCTCCACCATGGCAAAGACCAAAGAGCTGTCCAAGGATGTCAGGGACAAGATTGTAGACCTACACAAGGCTGGACTGGGCTACCAAACTATCGCCAAGCAGCTTGGTGAGGTGACAACAGTTGCTGCAATCACTCGCAAATGGAAGAAACACAAAACAACTGTCAGTCTCCCTAGGTCTGTTGCACCCTGCAAGATCTTACCTCATGGAGTGTCAATGATCATGAGAACAGTGAGGAATCATCCCAGAACTACACGTGAGGGTCTTGTCAATGATCTTCAGGCAGCTGGGACCACAGCCACCAAGAAAACAATTGGTAACACAATACGCCGAGAAGGATTGAAATCCTGCAGTGCCCACAAGGTCCCTCTGCTCAAGAAAGCACATGTCCAGGCCCGTCTGAAGTTTGCCACTGAACATCTGAATGATGCAGAGGAGGATTGGCTGAAAGTGTTGTGGTCAGATGAGACCAAAATCGAGCTCTTTGGCATCAACTCACCTCACCGTGTTTGGAGGAGGAGGAATGCTGCCTATGACCCCAAGAACACCATCCCAACTGTGAAACATGGCAGTGGAAACATTCTGCTTTGGGGGTGTTTTTCTGCTAAGGGGACAGGACAACTGCACCGCATCAAAGGGAAGATGGACGGGGTAATCTACTGTCAAATCTTGGGTGAGAACCTTCTTTCAGCCAGAGCATTGAACATGGGTCGTGGATGGGTGTTCCAGCATGACAATGAGCCAAAACACACGGCCAAGGCAACAAAGGAATGGCTCAAGAAGAACCACATTAAGGTCCTGGAGTGGCCTGGCCAGTCTCCAGACCTTAATCCGATTGAAAATCTGTGGAGGGAGCTGAAAGTTCGAGTTGCCAAACGTCAGCCACCAAACCTTAATGACTTGGAGAGGATCTGCCAAGAGGAGTGGGCCAAAATCCCTCCTGAGATGTGTGCAAACCTGGTGGCCAACTACAGGAAACGTCTGACCTCTGTGATTGCCAACAAGGGATTTGCCACCAAGTACTAAGTCATGGTTTGTGAAGGGGATTAAATACTTATTTCCCTCATGAACATGCAAATCAGTGCATAATTTGTTAGACATGCATTTTTTTTTTGAATTTTTGGTTGCTATTCTGTCTCTGTGTTACAATACACCCGCCATTCGATTTTTAGACTGATCATTTCTTTGTGAGTGTGCAAACATTCAAAATCAGCAGGGGATCAAACACTTATTTCCTTCACTATATATATATATATATATATATATAGTATATATAATTTTATGGCCAAAATTGTAGCATTTCAAATATATGACAATATATTTGGAAAAAAATATTTTAAAAATATATTTCAAATATATTTTTCTTCCATATGGGGTGTCAGTGATATGTGGTGACGGGGGGTGCAATGGCATTCGTATGAGTGGAGCTGGGTGACCAGATATGCAGTGTCAGTGGTGGGGGGGTGGAGTGTTAGTGTTACAGATCCCAGTGACTGGTAGGTGTAGTGACAGCGTTCTAGAGTGATGGGGGTGTGGAGTCTGTGCTACAGATTGACTGTGAGTGGGGGTGCAGTGTTAATGTTGGAGGATATCTTGGAGGTTCTTGGGGACAGGAGTGTACTGTCACACTGCGCAGCAATTAATAGGCTCTTTGAAGGTTCATAAATAAACTCCAAAAATGATAGTGTGCAAAAAACAAAATTTCGGCAAATGATGCAGCAATGTGCAAAAGTCATATATCATATGTGCAAAATTAAAGTGCATAAAAAAAACTGTGCAAAGTGTTCAAATACAGTAGGTATATGAACCAAAGAGAATATATAAATAAAATGTCTCATTCATGAATAATTCCAAATAATGCAATGATTAGGTTCAGCTCAAAAAATCCTGTGAGGTGCCCCGCCACCATACTGTGCGCTCCTTACCAGATTACTTGGACCCCTGTATTATAGGAAGTCACTCTGGTAAGAGAATATCAACAGCAACAGCAGCATGGAATCTCTTTCTCAGATGGCTGCAACTCGTCTCTGGAAAACTCCAACAGACCACCCACAGGATCATAGAGTCAGCAGTGCTCCAAAAGAACAAATAAAATAATCCATGGCCCAGTATCACCAATATTGCAGAGTTTATTTTGCAAATATACTCGCATAAAAAGCGCATCAATGAAACATGACGCCACCACCCGACTCCCAGCATGCATGATGACATCACAGATAAGCTCCGCTCAACATGTTTCATGTGAATCCATGTCTTCAGGGGAGCGCATGCTGCAGGCATAGGGAAAGGCTAGAGGGAGCTGGACTTCTTTTCCCTATGTCAGTTGTCTGCTGTTTCAGTGTGTATGCACTGTATTGTCTCCGGTTGAGAGGTGACAAGAATGGTGAGCTTTGCCAGTGGAAGCATTAGCAACATTGTAGCAGTTGTGTTACTGCTGGAGCGCACACTATGTAGAATCATGGACAGGGCACTTGACTCATAACAGCAGGAGATTTTCACAGCTGTGTGACAGTTTCAGATATGAATGTTTGTTTAAACAGTGCCCATTCTGTGCTCTGCAGGCTTTTATCTGTGGGAGTTACAATTTATAGGCACTACCAAAATCCAATTTTCACAGCTGTGTGACAGTTGCAAATGTAGTTTGTTAAAGCAGTGTCCACCCTGTGCTCTGCAGGAATTTCCCTGTTGCTTTGCAGAGTTCCTTTTGGGTACCATCAGCCCCCGCCATCCAGATTTTTCATAGCTGTGTGATGTAGCACAAAATATACATTTTTTTGACCAGAGTTGATCCTGCATTCTGCAAGAATATTTGTGTAGGGTTATAGTGCTTTGTCCCTATTAATACCCAAAACCTAATTTTTACAAAGTGGATGTGGAAATTGTTTAATTTTTTTTGGTCTGGTTAAATTCTGTGTTGACTGTTAATTTGTTGGTTGAGCTGTAATGCATCATCCATAAAAAATGGACAGCATATTATGTTTCCTCATGCTGTTCCTCAGTTGTGAAATTTGGAACACACTTTAAACACCAACAATCCTAGCTAATTCTGACGTTTCTCTTATAC